TAACCAGAACTTTATCATCAAGAAAACTGTCATTTAAGTTCTCATAAGCTTTACCGAAAGCAGGAGTCTTAGTTTCTAGTCAAAACATTAAATTACAGCTGTCAGCAGTGAAATCTTTACAAAAAATCAGCTTCATAGATGGCGCTCAGACGAGAAATGTTTTGTAATCTTTATCATTATATATTATATGTAATTACATGTTATGCATTTTTAAATAAGCATATTGTAACAAAAATAATAAAATTTAAATTTCGCAGTATAATGCAAACATTCCTCTAAAAAACAGCGCATTGTCACCAGGATAAGAATTTCACAACACAAGTTTTCTGAACTTTTCTCCCTTCATATTTAGTAAAATCAAGCTCTCTGTAGAGAAGCTAGGGATGATGTTAACCGGGCGCTAAGAAAACTGTCCTAAGTAACTAAAGTTTGTAACTAGATATTATAAAGCATATTGTCTATCTGCGAGCAATGTTCAAGTGTTCAAAACGAGGAGTCGAATTAGTCAGTGAACTACTTTCTTGTTACTAAAGTTATTTTAGAAAGATTAGTAAAACGGAAAAAATAATTCCAAAGCTTTTAATACAGGTACTACTTCTTACGATGTTAAAACTACGAGGCTGCAGAAAACGAGCAATTAACCATCCTCTAATTGGCCCAAATTATTTGTTTTTAGACCTTTAGACCAATGAGCTCAAAATATCAGCGAAAAAGGAATTTAGAACTAATAAATAGTTTCTAACAATTCTACACCGGTCTCAGTTTATCCCTTAAATCAATACATTAATGGTTGGCATTGAAATCATTTGTCGAGCAATAGTATGAGTTACTTTTAAACCAAAAGAGTCGATCTAGTGGTTAATAACAAGTTTATCATATCTATAAACCAGCTTGTGTCGAACACTTCTAATTCTGGCTGCGCCAATTTACTATTGAAACTTATATTGCAAAATATTAACCACCTACATATGATTCAACTCTTGCTATGTCCGACCTGTCTCTTGTTAGAAATTTAACATTTGAGCATTCGTTTTTCCTACAAGTGTTTTCTAAACAAGTGAATCGAGTGTGTAGAAATAATAAT